AGCAGTGAACAGTGAATATAGCCTTTTTCAGGATGCATTGCTTTACCTCATAAATGTAACCCAAAGACATGTATGAAAAGTGACATCAATTCTCTCTTCTTCTTTTTTTTAAGCAGTGACGTCTTAATTTGGCAGTATTAATTAGGCATGTAGTAGGCCTACTGTGAAGTCTATAAAATCAGCCTGGGTATACAAATAATGGATTCAATTTATGTATGCATGTATTTAGCTGCCACCATGCTCAAATATCAGTTGAATAAACAGACAAGTAAATTTTTTGCCAAGAACTTTGTTGTATTTAAAATTACTTGTTCAAACTCTTCAATACAAAGACATTACTATATTAAACATTTTGCTTCAGTTTGTATTTTGCAAAAAAAAAAAAAAAAATGGTGTAAAATTGTATTGAATAATTGTAATTGTATATGAAACCAGGGGTATATATTTACATGCATTCAGCATTTTTATGTTTTTGGCAATTAACTTGTGTGACTGGATGACAAAGTAACTAATGCACTGGGGGAAAAAAAGCATTAATATACTATTATGCTTAAATTATGTACTAGTTGTAACATATTCAGTTGTTTCAAGTTTTTACAAAGAGCAATTGTTTAATTTGATTACCTTTGAAAAGTTTTTGGCGTAGTTGCTCTTGGAACTGCAGAAGAACCAGTTGCAGAACCCGCTGCTGCACTGACTGGCCGGTGGAACGAAAAGCGAGTAGGGTTGGGCGTTACAGGTGTATCCACGCTGATGCTCTCACCGTGCACCTCATAATGCCCTCTTACTGTGAGGTCAAGAACACTGATGTGGCCATCAGGGCAGGAAACAGAGCCACATTGTTGTCATCAGTAATGTACACACTGGGGGCATGGACCTTTAAAATATTTATTTTCAACATAAACAAGTTCAGGATATTTACCAGACCACTGGAATTTGAGGTGTAATTTAACAATGCAGCGTGAATTGGCATTTGTATTTGAGTCTACAGTAACTTTACCTGAAAGATTCTGCCAATCTTGTCAGTTGTTAGGTCGTTTTCTTTCAAAGTGATTCGCTTGTTCACTCTAAAGAACACAAAACTCTCCATTGTGATCGATTGTATATAAATTGTCTCTGTTGATTGTCACTTGTCAGACTTTTGTCAATTGTTGTGCAATTGTCAGACTTTTGTCAATTGTTGTGCAATTGTCAGACTTTTGTCAATTGTCATGCAATTCGCATTTGGCTAAGCCACACCCTAGAATGTAGATTGACCAATCACAGCACAGCAAAAGAACGAGCTCCCACAGAGGTCCGACACTTTTTCACAGCGCTCCATTGACTTTAACACAGGCGTCTCATATTTTTGGTCTCGGCAGGCTTTTACCGTCATAGTTTTATCAAAAATATGCTAAACGTTGTGCCTGGGGCATTTGTAACACAGATACGCTTTTACCAGAGAGGTTGGAGGGGGGTGTCCGTTTTTTCCCTTCCCAAAACCAAAGTCAAATCCTGACAAGTGTCGTCTAGCTCACGCTTCTAATAAATATAACGTTATACTCGCGTAGTCCGTTTGCTTTGTAATAACGATTATAGAAGTGAATAGAGACCTCCAGCTTTGCATGAACAGTGTCGCTCCTCCTTGATATTGTTAGTCCCAGCCTCCGTCTCCATTAATAGGATATGCGGTGGTTCATGTTTTGACTGTGACCGGTATGCTTTTGCCTCTATTTGGATGCCTTGTTGTTCCTTGCGTTTCACCTGTATGTCGCGAATATAGCCTTCGAACGTATATTGCAGCCGCTTTTGCCTACTTCTATCGGACACTTTATTTGCTGCTTTATAAAAGTTTGATAAAATTTCAGCAGGAAGAGCCGTCACAGCATAAGCCATGTCGATACCAGAGCCCAGATGAAGTTTGTTTGTCGGACGTAGCAACAGTAACTAAGGGGGGCGGAGCTTAGCCAAAGGCGAATTGTCGTGCAATTGTCAATTGTCGTGCGCGCGCTCTAATTAATGTTGCCAGGTATACGGTTTTCCGCTTGAATATTCCTCCTTCCCTCCCTGGAAGTGGAACGCGCTTTACCATACAAAAACGCAAATTTTACCCCTCGGAAAGTTAGTACAATTTTTGTATTATTATTATTTTAGAAGGGGAACACCTCAGGAATTCAGTTGGGATAATGATGGCCGTTTTGTGGCTAGTTTGATCAGCAATTGTGGGAGGGTTTTGTTATGCCGACTCGGCAACCCTGTTTCACAGCTAACGTTACTTCCAGGGTCCGTGTATCTTTTGGTCATTTCATTTCCTGTTTGGAATGGAATAACAAGAAATGAAATCCAGCTCGTTTATTCGTTTTTTTGTTTAGTTTAAAAAACGAAAAATTAGATTTTGGCTCGATTTTTAATTTTTAATTTGTGGTTTACAAATCGGTTTATGGGTTCGATATTTCATTCGCACACGTGGGCGGCGCTGAAACGCCCCTTTCATCTGATTGGTCAAAACGCTCCGCCTTCATTACGAGCTTTTCTTTCTGTCAGGCAGAATAAGAGTCAGCACAAGTGCGGCACTGACAAATGCACTTTAATAAAACGATGTCTGAAACCACCACTCACTGTTAACTACGCACAATATTTGAAGCAGAAATATGTTGCTGGTCACGTAATGCGACTTGCAAGCGACCCCATTAATATGAGCCACAGACAGTAGCTGAGATTATTTTAGCATGTATTTTCCATTGGTAAATACCGTGCAAATAGTTCCGTCTCTTTGGATCAAAGGGAAGAGGCAATAAAAATCAATAATAGGCTGAACTGTACCATAATATATCCGTAACATTAGATGTCCGTAGATGACCTACCCATAACTGTTACATTGGAGTTAGGGGATCGTTTGTACAGTATAAAAATCATTAAGTTCCCATAAAACATGAAAACCCAACAACCCAATCCTTGTTGTGTAAAACATCTGTTCATAATCTGTGATTACACAATTCTAATACGAGCACCGGGAGGCGTCTGGAATAACTGCAATGATCAATCCGCATTTTTAAGACAGCTAATTTTACAGTAGGCTAATATTCAGAATGTCCTTCTCATATAACGCGAACGACCGCACAAACGGCGCGCTTCCTTTGTGAAATATAACAGACCACCTTTTTAAAAAACTGTTATTTAAGATATTTGTGCATAAATGTTTGCATTCAGGTTTTTCATATAGCGAGAGCAGTCAGTCAGAAAGACAGACAGACACGCCGTGTTTTTATCGTGCAATTTATACGCGAAAATTAGTTTTTACGTGCATAGGATACGCATGGGTTGGTTAGGGCAGGTTTAGTGGTGTGGTGGGGTGCGTGAGTACGGAGCCCGGGAAGTCACCTGGTGGAAAAAAAACAATCCGTGGCGACGGTTTTGCAATCCGTTCGCTCAGTTTATAAACTGTAGGCTACTCACGAATTCTCAAACTGTTCCCTCGGTTCAACAAATCGTGCTCACGGATTAATAAACCGTAGCCTACCCATGAGTTCCTAATCCGCGCTCTCAGATTTGTAAACCGTGCCTTCAGTTTTTGCAATCATACCCACAAATTCATAAACCGTGCCCACGCTTTTGCAATCCGTTCCCACGGGTTTGTAAACCCCCAGTCTGTGCCAACCAGGCCTCCTGTTTATGCGGGATGCATTTTATTATGTTTAAACTTAATTTTTTTAATGGATAATTTCTTGAATTTTCTAAAAAATGACATTTAGGCTACTTGTATCTTTAAAGTCCATTTTTTTAGGAAGAAAAAGCTCATATAATAAGCAAAAAAAAAAAACTTCACATATAAAAAAGAAATATAACACAAACACAAGGTTAGGTTATATAAAAATAAAACATTCATAAATTATTTTATGATTAACATATTACTGTCTTCAGTGAACTCATATAGTTATAAACGCAAATAATATAATATAATTATTAGTAGCCTACATTTAGGTTTTACATATTTAGAAGGCGCTTTTATCCAAAAAAGGAACAAAGCAATTCGTCAAATGTCAGTCATATAATACAGGTTAGACAATAATAATACAGGGCTAAGATTATCACAAATAAACACAAGATTTTGGCGCATATGCGTGTGTGTGGAGCGCGCATGGCACGGAGGCGCGGGCGCGAACACTTGCATTTTACTATCAACAGTGGAAACAACTTAAAATACTCTTTCTGGTCATACAGAAAAGAATAATACAGCATTCGCAACTACTTTTATTTGTCCAAACTCACAAGAAAACGTTGTGCTTTTGAAAAATACAATAAAACAATCAGCTAGGCACGCTTTCATGATCTCCGTGAACTGGAGCGCATCTCATAAATTAACTGAAACTAAATATAGCCTACATATAAAGCTTGAAATGTTTACTTTTAACGAACAATTAAAATGGCTCGTTATTTTTTCAGACACCTTTATTATCATTAGCCTAGAAATCATATCTCTGTTCCAGAAACGGCTCTTCTCATTCAGCACTGCGGGAAAAATATTATTTCCAGGTTCTACATTGGCCTTAGAAAACCAGTAAAATCTATTTTTATTTCCCATATTAATTTGTGAATATTTTAAATGTTTAATAAAGGGGCAAAAAGTCGGAGGGTGCATTTGGCATCTAACCTTGTGTTTTGTGTTATATTTCTTTTAATATGTGAAGTCTTTTTTGCTTATTCTATTATACTGAGCTTTTTCCTCCTAAAAACTTTAAAGATACAAGTAGCCTAAATGTCGTTTTTTAGAAAATTCAAGAAATTATCTATTTAAAAAATCAAGTTTAAACATAATGAAATGCATCCCGCACCGTTTGGGTATTAGTGTGGGGTGCGTGCATTACACGCAAATGAACTGCGTATCAAATGCACGTAAAAACTAATTTTCGCTTATAAATTACACGATAATACACAATGCATGCTATAGAGACGCATTAACGTATGTATGTATGGATGGACGGATGGATGGATGGATGGATGGATGGATTTAGGTACATGCAACAAACTACAATAGCCTAAAACAGAACTGAAACCTTTAAGCCTAAACTGGAACTGCTCGTCTTCACAAAAACTACCGAAATATTGTTTATTCTGGCCAGTATGACAAGCCATGGCAAAAAGCAGGCTAATTTGTAGGCTATAGCACTTGAAAGGAAAATAAATTTACAGAGTAGCCTAAAAACAGAGTTTGTGTTGTTGAATCATATTTTTGTCCTAAACGCAATTTTTGGCGTTGTCGGGGGGAGGCGCGCTACACGCACCGTACAGTTAGAAAAAGCATTAGAAGAATATGAATATTCATTAGTCTGCTCTTCAGTTTGGCGGTCTTCTGCAGCCTGTCTGTATCTAACTTTTACTGTCTAGTCTTTATGGAGTCTACATTATTTCCCTATAAAAACACGATAGAAAGCATGATAATAAGTGGATGCTCGGATGAGTACATATCAAATTTTTTAAAATTTGAATGTGGAGTGTCAAAGGGTGCTTCAAAGGTGAGCATACGTCGATTTTGTGCTGAACATGGCATACAGAGAGAGCGTCTGCAAGATTCCCAGCTTGAGATGGAAGTTGCAAAAGCAGTTATCGAGGTAGGTCAGTTCACACTTACATAGCAATTAAATGTAAAGTTTTATGCGTATTTGTATATTATAAAACATAATATTTAAATAAAAAGTGTCAAAACTCTGTTTTATGGTTAAAATGATCTCGTGTAGGCTACTCAGTTTGGAAGTTTTTTCCCCCCCCCACAACAGACTGGGCCAACATATGGCAGAAAAATGATAAAGGGATACCTGGCTTCAAAAGGTATCAAAGCATCCGAAGGCCGCGTGGGATGTATGCTGCGAACAATCAATCAGCCCTATCACATGGCTCGATATCATGTAGGTATTGGTAAAGAAATTATGGATTATGTTGTTAAATTTTGGAAGTGTTTGTCTTTAATTAAACTATGTTCGTGTTATAAAGGTTAAAAGTTGTTCACTTCAATTACTGTATTACTGCAATACCAGGCTGCAGTTTCAGGACCACATTTCTAGGACCCTAGTTTTTTGTGATCACGTGACGTCATAGCCAATTCAGAAGAGACTTGATTCAAACTGGATGCCAAGATGAGACCCATGGAAATTATTCACTTTTTAATATCTTTCACTGGAGTCAGCAGTCTCCAGTTATTATTTAGCTGCAAAAACAGTTAATTGTGCTTCTGGAAGTTGTAAACTGGCATTTGTTTGATTTATTGACATTATGATAAACACACTAGTTTACACTTTAAGTGTATCACACATCAGAGTACGCATGTGGTACTTTAAGTCTTGCACAGATACAGAAAATAGTCTCTTTTCAAGGAAATTGAATTTAAAACCAGAATATAGTTGCTCATACTGAAACAAATTAGGTTAAGAGTTTCTTGTTTGCATGACATTGGCTCAAATCCTTATCTTGAGCCAAATAAGATAACATTCAGTACAATCTATGTCTTTTATTTGATCAAAAATATACAAATGTTATTTCTTTTAAGGCGAGACACGGCAGGCAAAAACATCGTTTTTTTTTCACTGGTCAATTTTGAGATTTTGGGCTATATGTCTTCAATAACATGTCTTCTTTCAGACTTGTGGTGAAAAAAAGTCAGAAATACACATTAAGGTCTTTATTTTACTACACTTTGTCTGTTTGCGCCTGTAGATTTCTTCTAAATTCGTCAAAAGTTGGCGTTCTAAATCATCCCACTGCTCCGCGATCGCTCTTCTCCCTAACACCGCTGTAAAGCTCTCTCTTTCCTTTGCAATGCTGTCGGATCCAAATTTGGTCATTTCCTGTCGATCAGCAACCAATCATGAAAGTAAAATGGGTGATTTAACTCGAAATGCGCAATCTCATTGGCTGAAGCCAATTTCTGACAACGTGATTCGTTCAGAATCGTAATATGACGCGCTCTGACATTTCCGCGCCGGTATTCAAAATGTCGAAAGATACGCGTGTAAAAGTCTCTCAGAAAAAACGAAAACAGTTGTCATTAGCAAGAAGACACAAGGGATCACCAATGAAGACAGAAGATGTTGAAATGCCATCACATAGTGCGTCGATGCGTAAACTGTCGTTTGGAAAACAGGAGTGTTCAGACAGCAGCGGAGGTAATCAAAGCGCCACTCAGCAGTGGCTGATAGTTCATGTAGCGCGTTTGAATGAACTGATCGGTGGTTTAATTTGTCCTAATTGCACAGGGACAGGGCTGAAAGTTAACATCGACCCAAAGAATCATGGGTTCTGTAGTAGTTTAGTACTAGAGTGCTGTCTCTGCAAAGAGGATAGATACAGGCAAAGTGTCTATACATCTACGCGTCTACAAGACGCATCCAGGAACGATGTGGCGTTTGATGTGAATGTGCGAATGGTGCTTTTAGCTCATGAGTTAGGCTTGGGATATGCAGCTCTAAAAAAAATCAGCAAAGTGTTGGGGATTCCTGGTCTTCATGTTAAAACGTATCAGACACACCAAAAGACAGTAACAGGTATAGAAAAATCTGTCTCTCTCTCTCTCTCTCTTTTTTTTTTTTTCTTTATTTCTTTCTTTCTTTCTCTCTTTCTTTCTCTCTCTCTCTCTCAAAGCAGTTTACAGAAATTCATAGCTACACGTCATATATTAAATATATAGGTGTCACATACATACTATACAAAACAATTACATTAGACAACACGTTTCAGGTTTTGTAAAATATAATTACTATCTGTACAAATATGTAAATTTTCTGGAATCCTAAAGTGGTTGTGAGTCCCTCAGGCAGACATATTTAGCTCTGGAGCTGCTGTCCTCTCTCCTAGGAGAGCTTCCAGTTAACTTCGGGAAGTTTTATTCTTTTGGCTATTTTTCCAAGGTGTAAATATCTTAGTGAAGATATTTTTCTCTCTTTCTCTTTCTCTTTCTCTTTATCTCTCTTCCTCCCTCTCCCTCTCTCTCTCTCTCTCTCTCTCTCTCGGCATTAAAGATTATGGCATCCATCTATTTGTGTTTTATAATATGGATGAACAGTTAGTAATAAGCTATAAATTTAATTTCAGTCGCTGAAATTGAGAGAGGCTTGGAGTCACTGCAGAGAACCAGGGATCAGATCAGGCAGGCATACGCAGATATTGACCCTGATGTGGCTGAGATAGTAAGGGAGGATGAGGATGCCATGATAAACATCAGTGTGTCTTTTGATGGCACCTGGCAGAAGAGAGGCTTCACGTCCCACTACGGCATTGGTGTGTGCATCGACATCCTCACTGGGCTGGTAGTGGACTTTGAGGTCCTATCCTCCTACTGCCATGCTTGTACCCTGAGAGAGTGTGCTAGGCGAGGTGGTAAGATTACGCGGGAGGAATTTGAAAGCTGGAAGGAGAGTCATGTAGACTGTGCAAAAAATTTCTCAGGGTCAAGTAAGGCCATGGAGCAGGAGGCAGCCAAGAGGATGTGGGCCAGGTCTGTGTCTCAGCATCAGCTGCGCTACACAGAGATGCTGTCAGATGGGGACAGTGCAGCATTCAGGGAGGTGGTTGCGCTCAACCCATACCCTGGACATGAAATTGTAAAGCTTGAGTGCATAAATCATGCTCACAAGCGTATGGGCACAGCACTTAGGAAACTGAGTGCTGAGCGTAAGTTAGGGGGCAAAGGTCAGGGTAAGCTCACTGCCAAGAAATGTAAAGCCTTGCAGAATTATTACAGGGGGGCTATTCTAAATAATCAAGGGTCACTGGATCAAATGAAGGCAGAAATATGGGCAGGTCTCCTCCACTCCATGTCTAGTGATAAAAGTCCTACACACACTAGGTGTAATCCATCCTGGTGTTGGTACAGGAGAGCAGAGGAGAATGGAAAAAAGCCAGAGAGCCATAGTCTTCACACAGGAAACTTTTTATCACGGGAGGTGGGTCAGAAGCTCATCCCTGTCTATCACCGGATGTCCAGTGACAGCCTGCTCAAGCGCATGCAGCATGGAGGCACTCAGAATGCCAACGAATGCCTCAACTCGGTCATATGGGCCCGATGTCCAAAAACAGTCTTTGTGGGGAAAAGCAGAGTTGAGGCTGCAGCCAGTATGGCTATTTCTATATTTAATGAGGGTGCCTCTGCCATGCTGGCTGTGATGGAGAAACTGTGGCTTCAGAGCACAGTCGTAACTGTCAATGCAATGAAGGATGACGACATGGTTAGGATTTCAAAAGCCAATAGTGTCCATTCCGCTAGTGTAAAACGGAGCCGTAAAAGTGTAAGCACAGCCAAAAAAGTGAAAAGACACCAGCAGGAGATGGAGGAGGGCCCTACATATGGTGCTGGCATGGATATGTAGACTGTAAATTAACTAGGTGTAAAGGTTGTGTTCTGTCAGTTTGAAGTTTGTGATGTAATGGTCTTCAGTTGAAGTTCATGTTGATGTGTTAATCCAAACAAGTTAATTTAGCTTACTATTTGTATTTATAATACAAATTCTTTCTTATACGACAGGTTTAAAGTTTGTTGTCATACCTTGACAGTTTCGACTGCTGATGCAGTCATCTTCAGAAGCGTCACGTGATGTTGCTGTGGGTGTTATATATTTCGTTTTTTGTCACACCTGTGTGATGGACTGTTGATGTGTTGTTTTGGATGTTATGATCAGTGATGGATGAAGCAATAATGAGTTTTGGATGTTATAAAGTGTGATGCATGGATTTTACTTGGACCTAAAGCATATTTTGTCTGTAATTCATGGCTTTCAATAGAAATTAGTAAAATTTTACCATAAAAATCTTTAAAGGCCGTTTTCTCAAAACGAGTTTTTTCTTGCACTCCTCGTGACGATTTTTCACTTCTGTAGCACCTACATACACCAAACTTTACAGTCGTATTCCTAACTATATTGTGAATGTTTGTTCAGAGGGATTTGTTGATATATCATTCTTGGCCTGATTTATATGACATTTTATGCCTAAAAATAGGGCAGAAATCAATTTTTTAAGGCTATTGGCAGTATTTTCTGATTTACAGGGTAACAAAAGGAGATATTCATAATCCCCTCTGAAAATGTCTTTTCATTGAATATATCAACAAAATGCAAAAATAATTTTGAACCTTGTTTTTTTCAATGGTCAGATTCGTCACTTCAAAATATATGCAAATTAGCGCATATTTAATGAGATATAGCCTGATTAGCATATTTAAACATAAAATTACAGTAAACTTGCAATACATTTTTTTCTCCTCTTCATGTGAGTAATCAACTGGTAAAGTTTTATGGTGATATCTCTAAGTTAAAATTTTTACCCTATTCACCTGTAGTGTCTCGCCTTAAGGACTGGATTCACAGACATGGCTTTGTTTAAGCCAGGATTAGGCCGTAGTTCAATTAGGACATTTAAGTAGCTTTTATAAACCTGCCCAAAAAAACATTACTGTGTGCCTCTTGAGACAAAATGGCACTGACATTTGAAGATATATCAATGCAATTTCAGCTCAAACATGCATTTTAGTCTTGGACTAGTTTATGGTTAGTTTGTCAAGGAAAAAGCAGTTTTTGAAGAGTTAGCACGTACTCTAGTTTGTAAGAACAAGCTATTGAATCTGGAAATGAATCAAAATAACTGAGAAAATGAGAATTATTGCTATAAATTACAAACATGGCATCTGGGAACTAATTTGATCTCAAACCAATTTGCGCCAATATGATTTCGGGAAACAATCGTGACTATCTAGTAGTTGATTTCTTCAATGATGAATTATACTATGGTAGTTAAGAAGCGAGTTGCATCATTGTATGGGAAACGCTCCCCTGGCCGAGCCAGCTAGATATAGAGGGTCAGCTTTAAATGTGTGGGACTACTGCTCCCAGGGCCGGCCCGAGGCATAAGCAAACTAAGCGGCCCCCTGGCCACCAGGGGGCCCCCCAATCGAGTTTAATTTTTTTTTATTTTTTTTTAGATGACTTAAACAAGTGACATAAATGAATGAATGAATATGAATGAATAATTCAAGACAAGAAAATTCTGATTTCATGATCAATATACCTGCCAACAACTCCTGCTGTGTCTGCCAGCGTTTAAATCATGCGCATAATCTAGACACCTCGCGAGTGCATAGACAATTCGTGCGCAACTGCGCATTGTCACGGTATCGGTTTAACCCATAGTCACTGTTTGGGGTCATTATGACCCCACTGGACTTTTCCTTGATTTTTAAAAAATGTTCCCTTCATCTCAGGGCCATAAAACTCTGTGACTTTTCCTACATAATCTATCTAAATATGCACAAAAAAACTGGGTTCGATTCGGTTGTTCTAAAGGTGTGTAAATTTTTTTTTACCATTTAAGGGGTTTGGGGTCAAAATGACCCCAATTGAAAATGAATGGGAAAATGAAAAAAATGACTTTTTTTATTTTGTTTGTCAAAAAAATAAAAGTAAATCCATTATAAATCTGAAATGTTCTACATATAAACCAAGGTCTGGTCCTAGAGCATAAATAGAAAGTAGAACAAACTTTTTATCTCATACACACACACAGACACACACACACAAACACACACATGTCCTGACTGCAACAGAGAGCATTTTTACAGAAATTGGCAAATAAAATAAACAAAACTGGCATAAATAAATAAAAAAAAAAGACATCTAAATCAAGGTCTGGTCCTAGAGCATAAACACAAAGTGGAACGAACTTTCTATCTCATACACACGCACACACACACACATACACACACAGACACAAATCTATGTGACTGCAACAGAGAGCATTTTTTTTACAGAAATTGGCAAATAAAATAATCAAAACTGGCATAAATAAATAGAAAAATCACATATAAATCAAGGACTGGTCCTAGAGCATAAACACAAAGTGGAAAGAACTTTCTATCTCATACACACACACACACAAACACACACATGTATGTGACTGCAACCGAGAGCATTGTTACAGATATTGGCAAATAAAATAAACAAAACTGGCATAAATCTAAAAAAATATATATTTAAATCAAGGTCTGGTCCTAGAGCATAAACACAAAGTGGAACGAGCTTTCTATCTCACACACACACACAGCCACACACACACAAACACACACATGTATGCAAATGTATGCATCCTGTTCATTACAGTTTATTGGTGCTGTTGTTTTGTATTATATTGGTTTATTTACTTGGTTTATTTAATTTATTTTGTTCTAAAATCTCTTGTTCTAAAAAAATAAATAATTCTTGATAAATAATTTTCTGAAATAAATAGTGTGTGATTACAATCATGTCATAGTGCTGACTTGTAATGTTTATGCAAATGTATGTATAATAATTTGCAAAAACAATAATTCAAAATATATCAGACAACAACAACAAACTCTAAATTTGACATATATATTTTGTGAATTGCATAAAATATTTTTATCATATATATCAAGTTGTTAGGAGAATTTGAAGCATCAAGACAAATGAAGGGAAAATGAATGAGTCTCTATGGACCTCTATTGGACAGATGTGGTCATTGCACAATAATTCCTTAACTGTAAGAAAAACAGTTTTTCGACTAACCACCAGATGGTAGTATTTTATCCCTAACACATAGAGCAATGTCCAAAAACTATTTAGATTTAATTATCATCATCATTTAAGTGATTTTTTCTTTAAAAAATCATTTTTCATGTGCCAATTTATGGCCTAGTTATGTAATTGTGCAGTAAATATGTAGAAAACCTAAAAATTTCCCAAAAAACACAGCATTATTGTATAGTTGAGAAGTGAATTAAAAAAATTATATAAAGTTTTCCATATAAAAAATTTATATTTCCTTATGCAATCACTCTTTAAAAGTTTGGGGTCAATACGACCCCAAACCACTTAAGCGTCGTCCTTTTTAAACAGTGACTAAGGGTTAAGTTGGAGAAAATAGCCGCAGGGGAACTTAACCTTCTAGGTGTAAGGGTAGCAGTTTGAATAAATAATAAACATAGCAGTTTGAACTCTTCTCGACTCCACTTTATTATACCACACATCAGATCACTAACTCCAAAAACCCGCGACACTCCAGTATCAAGTGCGCACGACCCATTCCTATCTACGGCAAGCCCCGAGGGGAAAAATAGATTGCACACATACACACATACAACGAGCGCCAGTACATCATTACCGGTATTATAGTAACAGACTTTGTTGGATTCTGTCATGTACAATCCAACAAAGTCTGTTACAATAATAATAATAAAAAAGATTTTGAGGACAGTTACACTGTATTGAGACAGTTGAGAAATAATAATATTTTTACAGTTTTCAACAATAATTGTCATTGTTGAACCCTTGCTCTTATTATGTTTCTGATTTCTCAGTTTTGTCATTATTTTAGCAAATCATTTATTTTATATGTTTTGAGACAGTTTGTTTTAAGAAGTTTCAAAGAGTTAGTAAAAGAGTACAGTAAAAGTTAAAACTTTTTTATTTAGGTAGGCATCTATTTTTTATTAAAGTAACAACAGGTAACTTTTCAGCCTTCATAATATATTTCCAAGTCTCTTGTGATGGTACATCGACTTACAATAGGTTGAATGACACGTCTGCCATAGCCTGACGGGGTCTGTAGCGTTTTTAATCGTACTTTTAAACTTCGGGTTTCGGGTAGTAACCGGCGAACAAAGAGAACTACAAAATTCGACTGCTTTACGGCATATACGTCACTTCCACCACCACCCCCACTTCCTTAAAATCGGACTTGCGAGCCAAATGTTATAGTCATGGCCGAAGCAGCACAGAAAAACAAGAAAGCAAAGGTTTTATCGGAGCAAAGCAAAAAGAGAAAAAGAGAAAGTGATCGCGTTAAAGGCAGAACGAGGATCAACATTGCAGAGCTGCCAACTCTCACGCATTGGCCGTGAGACACCCGCTTTTGATTGGTTTCACACGCTCACACGCCACACCCCCGGTTTCTCACGCTAAATTGTCAACCCGGTCGGTCAAATGCCTGAAAGATGAGTTTATCTATAGATCTCTACCTGTTGAGCCACTCGTGATCGACAAGTTATACCGCAAATTAGTTCAAATCTCCCGGAATCTAGAGCGAGCGCGCACGCGAGACAGAGACTGTGCTCCAACGCGCGCGGACGGCAGAGAGAGAAAGCGAGCGAGAGACCTTGCGTGTGCAGGGAGCATCAAACCCCCCATCGAAAAAAGAATGCCTCTCTCTAACCTCTCTAATTCGCTAGAGTAGTAGCGAATTATCAATCTGGTTGCTAGTAAACGATATTCTAGTTTTTGATGGTTAGCTATCGCGATAGTATTCTCGTTCTGATTTGAACTTTGCAATCGATGAAATGCCAATAGCAAATGTTTGACCTAAAAAGTGTAGTCTACTCAACATGTACAAAGAAAGGAGGAAGATTATTAATAAAATCATATTTTAGGATACCTAACATGTCTGTGATATTTGTTTATTTGTCTTGCCTCAAGCTATAATGCAAATCGATTTGTAAAATTTGCAGATTCATTTATGGTAGCTTGATATTATAATATTGACGATATATGGTTATTATCAACCACTCAAACATTGCATTGAAGTATCATATAGATTCAGTAAAACGGTAACCAATAGACTAGGCTACTATAATGACGCTGGCTTGTAAACGCGATCATTTGTCGTTATAAAAAAAATAAAACACATGAAATTATATTCATATGACATGCTGAAATATATGCCACTGTACCTGGGATGAAGACATTTCACACACGCGAGAACACCTGCATGTGACCTCCTCCTACAGTGTTCAGGGCTATCCTGGTTGTCAACAAATGCACGTGCATGTAGGATGACAGTTTACGACAGTAGTAGAGGACAATACTGTTTCCCAACTGTAGGGGGAGCCCGAGAGCAAAAAACGACCTGTTGTTACTTTAAGTATTTATTTTGTATTAATACATAACCTCACTGTATTCATTTATAATGTATCATTATTGTGTGACATTTGTGTCAATAATCGTCAAGCACAGGTGACTTCGCGTAGTGGGAGGGGGCCCCCAAATCTAATTCTGCTTAGGGCCCCCAAAAGGCTCGGACCGGCTCTGACTGCTCCTTAAATAGAAAGTACATTCCTAACTTGAAAGTCTTTACCCACTGGAGTTATAAACTCTGCACACTTGGAGGTCTCCAGGCTACAGTAACAATGCGATGTCATGTAGATTTCTGTAATAGAAATTAATTAATAATTAGTAAAAAAATATATTATTAAATAACTATTTAGTAGGTAGTGTTGTTTTTCCCAGTGTTTTGCTATTATGTTAAAACAATCTAAATAATCTAAACATTTACTTTTTTTTATACAGGGATCTAGGAACTTTAATCCAATACCATACACTGCAGAATACATGGGTCACAAATTACATATGGACCAAAATGAGAAGATGGTAATGTTTGGGGTGACCCACGTGGCAGCTGTGGATGGATACTCCAGAAAGATTGTCGCACATTGCACTATGCCAGTGAAAACCAACCTGACAATATATCAAAATATTTACAGGTAACTTCACATTTTTGATCTTGTTTTTTTTGTGTTGGGGGGGGGGGGGGGGGGGGGGGGGGGGGGTACTTTAGTTGTGTAGTTCCAAATTAATTCCATACAGCTATGAGAAATGTGTGAATAATCCTAATCATAACACTAACCGCCATGAGTATGAACCACTACATGTGGCTACATGTTTTTGGGTGCAATAGTGAACTTGGCTTCAACTTGAGGAGAAAGAGTCCAAAAATGAATTGGTTGTTTCAACAAGCATTAACTAATTCACCATGTGTGTGTTTTCTCAGAGGAGGCAAAGAAAAAAATGTGTATGTGAAAATAATCCATTCGATAAATTCCACCTTTAATTTTCGAGCATCAATTCTTGAGATTTATATATGGTTTTGATTAATATAACAGTAATAGCATACATTTTAATGTAAAAATAAAATTGTATTGGAGGTGTTCTTAATAGTTTATGTAATGTTTATGTAACCTGGAAAATGTCAACATTGGGTATAACTGGAACATGAATTTACCTTTTTTTTTAATAGTGAGGACTTTCCCTCATTTTAGAACACTGCTATGAATACATTTGTGTTAAGCAAAAAAAAACATTATACTGTCGAGCTGAGAGACAATAACTTGACTGGCTAAACAGCATTTTTTACCTTCAGTGCTTTTAGCTAAAGATGTACTTCTTGTTTCTTGCAGAAGTGCAGTGATCGAATATGGAATGTGGGACCAGGTCAGGGTGGATCATGGGAAGGAGTTTTATTTAACACTTTTTATGCAAGAGAAACTTGCACACCTTAGAAACAACAGAGAGAAGCAGCCATATTGCCAAACACCGTCAACAAACGTGAGTCTTAATTCATAAACATTGTAGGGCAACATAAACTACAGTGTCCTTTTAACATAATCTATTAAAATGTTTTATTTTGTTAACTGCACTTAGTATTGTTGTGTACTACAATACAGGAGCCTATACCATGAAGCCGGTTTAGTTGGCTAGCCATATATGTTTCACTTTAGTTTGCCAACCCTGGGTTTTAGGCATCATGAAAGTGGTTTGGCTTTTAGCAGTGTTCATTGCCATAGTAACTTGCACTGATGTCACTCCTAAACTCAGGATCAAAGCATGTCTTGAAAGAGAAAGTTGATGAACAGCGTAATGGCACCAACAAAGCCTGGTTGGATTGTTTGGTTTTGTCAACTCAAAACTAATCCCGTAACCCTGAGTTTGTTTAACTACCATCATGGTACTATCAAATACAGTGATACTTCAGGATCACTGGAAGCTGATATGATGATTAGGATACTTTACTGACCCTGTAGGTTAGGCAAAATGAACTAAACTTTATTCAAGTTATTTTAGCAGAATTAGAATGCTATATGTCATTGGAGTGTAAATTTGGAGTGCTGTCAGTACAGAGAACAACGACAAAAATCGGTGTTGCCTACACCGTGTTATCCTCTTTTTAAAATGTGCACCCTGTTGACTAAAATGGGGCAAGTATTAAACCTGCTTTTAGCCTCTTAACATCCTTGATGTGTCATTACAAGTGCACAGCCAAGTGAGTGATTTTATTCAGAGTGAACACGGTGAATCTGACTGCAGTAGATGTGAAAGATATGAATAAAATTGATGTTAATTCAGCCAGCTCGCATACCTGTATTTACTTCCTGTTTTAAGGAAGTAGTCAATGATTAAGTGGACTTAATGATTAAGTCCACAGTAGTCGATTGCACGCGCGATCATTGGTAACATTGGAACTTTTATTCATATCTTTCACATCTACTGCAGTCAGATTGACCGTGTTCACTCTTAATAACACCACTCACATGGCTGTGCACTTGTAATGACACATCAAGGATGTTAAGAGGCTAAAAGCAGGTTTAAAACTTGCCCCATTTAAGTCAACAGGGTGCACATTTTAAAAAGAGGATAACATGGTGTAGGCAACATCGATTTTTGTCGTTTTTGTCTGTACTGACAGCACTCCAAATGTACAAAAAAATTAGCTCAATGTTAAAATTGGCCGGAGTTCTCCATTAAGGCGCTTACATTTTTACAATTTGAAATCAGGAAATCATTATAATGCATAAATTATGAGAAACATGAATGATTGGTTCTCCTTCACAAAAGTTTCCAGGAAGGTTTGTTAGAGGGTGAGTGGGAAATTTACAGGAAAGCGACCTGCCAGGAACAGTATTGGACACCCCAAGAGGTGTATGAATATTTTTATGCATCTTTGAAGTCTTTGAAACTATACAATTCTGCAAACTTATGCACTAACTAACCAGATTACATCTCTGTAGAAACTGACATGCTCCATACCATACTGAACCCCCTAGAAACTTTTGATGTCTATCTCTCTTAATGACTGTCTGTCTTTGCTATAAAACTTTCATAGTTTGTATCAACAAACTTAGCTGTCTTGTTTTTCTTTTCATTTATAAAACAGAATCACATTATTGAAAGAATATGGACAGAAGTCAACAGGATTTTTGTCTGCTGTGCTACTTCATAATAGGAAATGTAGGCTCGACCTGAAGCCCTAAAATCTCAATTTCCTTGTAGGGAATGGAGTTCCTGATCATCTGGCCCATGGTGGATGCCCGAAGAAAGTCTCTCCTGATGTTTTGCCTGATGCAGTGGATGCCGCAAACTGTTATGACAGAGAAGTTGGTTCTTCATTGACACGGGAGTCATCCTTTGGCAGGAATCCTTTTTTACATCTCGAAGACCAGGAAGCAGCTCAGAGGGAATTTTCCTTGCACTATCCAAACATTTGTTTGTTATTTGAAAGTGCTGTTAATTTCCAGCCTGACCATTTCAAACATGCCATTAGAAAGCTAATTGACATTGTAAGAAGTCTAAGTTCCTAATTGTAACTATAACCTATTTGGCCCATCTGCTAAGTGTATTGTTGCACCTCCAGTGATTAATTTGATATGTTAAAGGAAACCTATGGGGGGGGGGGGGGCTAAAAAGTGTGAAGATGGTATATACATTCTTTTGGGTAGAACAGAGGGACATTTGAAACAGTAACATGCTCTTTGATTGTAGACATTTTAAAGGACGTGGTTCTCTAATCTGATGATATCAAATAAAGGTAAAAATTTCATGTCACCACCTCCATTCATTATTGAATTGCTTGCAGACATTTTATGACTAAAACTGAACTTTAATTGTTATTTAATATTTGCTCAAAATTAATTTTATTTAAATGTGTAGAGTGATCAGAGGGACAGTTGAAACGCATCAACTGAACCCATAGTATATTAATGTATCAGATGCTGTCAAATCACATGTGTCAATGCACTGATGGAGGTTATAACTGCATATGACACCACAATTAATAACTGAAGAAGAGTAAATGTGTGTGTTACACACTTACTAAGTGAATGTTATTATTATTATTTGTACTGCTGTACAGATTAACTGGTTTTAATTGTTCAATATTTTGGCAAAAAGTGTGTGTAATTAGATAATTAAGTTAGTTTAATTGAAGTGGCATTAAGTCGTTAATGCTGTCAACAGTTAACCCTTTTGCATCAATTAAAAAAATTACACGTAGGTCCATAGTGGTCAAAAAATGTCAATGTAAAAAAAAAATTATGAAAACTTCAAAAAAAAAAAAAAGTTTGGTCTCATTTTAAAGAAGACCCTTGGAAGATTGTTGCTGAAGTAAAAAAAATAATTGTAAAAAAGTAACCCCCCCCCCCCCCCCCAACCAAAAAAAAAAAGTTATATAGTGAACATTATTTTATATAAAATGCATATTTTATGAAACATGATGAACTCGTGTGCTAAAACGGCTAGAAAATCAAACCCATACAACTAAACTAAAGTTGTGTACCAAATTAGAGGTTGATATCTCAAAAAATTAGCTTTCCATAAGATTTTGTTTGGGCGCAGTAACACATTTTCCCCATTAGATGCCAGCAAAACTCCACTGGTTATTTGCAGTTGACTTTTTCTCTCTCAACTATTACAATCACACATCCACATTTTTTTTTATAACACACATACCAACCACACTCAGACATCCATACTTACTAACAAACCCACACAATTATTGTTGCATAATTTATCTAATTGGCCCTGAACCGCAACGTAAACATAAATAAATAAATCTAAAATTACGAGAACAAAGTCGTTTTATTTATTTAAATAAATAAATGTTTCGACTTTATTCATTTACGTTGCGAAAAGCTAGAGATTAAACTCGAAACATTTCGACTCTAAAGTCTACGTATTTACGGTGTACAATATACACATTTTCCACAGACACACGGCATGGGGCAAAAGACACGTATTGACAAATACTTCAGATAGAATAATGTTTTTAATAATGTCTAAGTTTCTACTTGTTCAAAACAATCACTTGAGCTAAGTTTGTACTATTTTCGGTTTAGTTTGATAAATAAAATAATTAATTTTTGTTGTAATAACCTTTAATAAACAAATAAACTGTCATTAAAATATTATAATTTTAAAAGTAAAGATTCTGAAAGCATTGAAAAAGATCCCATAGTAATTTAATATAGATTCACAGTAGAAACAAATAAATATATTTTATTATATATGGTTAATATTCATATCGTATTTTTAAATATGATGGTTTCATTCTAAATATGGTGAATTCAAAATTAAAAACCCAAATTCCAAATGGATCTATTTTAATCTAACATGTCAACAAAAGGAAAAGACGAATGGCTGTTTATTATCATGTTCATTATTGTGCCTTTCGCCCTGATGGGGGGCCTTTTACCCCAAACACCATATTTTTAATATATTCTTCCTTTATCGAATTTTTTTTGCTTCATTACCTTGAACAAAAGTGAAAAACATTAAAGACCATGAATCATGAAGAAAAATGTAAAAACATTAAATATTAAATCAAAGGCCAAATTTCCACATGCATCATCAAAAGTGGTTGTAAAGAAAAGTGCTGAGTTTTTTTTTTTTTTTTTTGTGCATGACGTGTGGGTCTCTGTATTTATTTTAGTTATTTTATTTTATTTTATTAAAGATAGTTTAATAGATACATTGTCTGTACTTCAGTGGTCATTTTTTGCATTTTATTGAAAATCAGGGTGTGATGTGTGACAAATCACCGTGTTAAGCTACCATTTATTAAGTTATTAGAATTGTGGTTATTCAACATAAACAATTTTGAAAAACAGTCTAGGAAATAAAGACTAGACATAAAAGGTGTATTTCAGTTATCACTTTTTTGTGTTTCAGGTTGGTACAGACAGTCTGTATTTAACAGACTCTGCAAATGTCGCTCTTTTTCCTATGGAAAATGGAGATTTTTGCAGCTTGGACCTAACCGACAGAGGGCATTATGAGGTTCATGGCGGTGAACTTCAAGGACAAGTAACAGCTTTGAGTCAGCGTAGTTTCTCATTTTCTCAAAGGCCTTCAAGTTCACCTGTGGCAAACTTCACACAGCCACCTAGAGCTAGTACTCCAAGATCATTTCAAAGGTAACCCCTTAAAATCTTACTGCTTTATAATGTCAATATGTGAAGTCATAAAAATATAAACATTTTAAGGTTATTATTCCTACTCAAATTCGATTTAAGTTGCATTTTTTGTATAATACAGAAATGTTTATTTTATAGATCCATACACATCTCTGAAATACAAGATGGACGCATGGTCTCTAGTCGAGTAGTGGTGGTGCGGTTTACAGAATTTGAAGCAAATGTGCCCAGCATTCTGGAGAAAGTGAAGTTGGCTCTGGGCAATGATGAATCTTACGTCCTTACCAACACCCAAGGAAATGAAATCTTGGACTCAGAGGGCACAACTGGTAAATAAAATCCTGTGTTTGTTAATATGGAGTTTTGCACAAAGAATATTTTTCCTTATTTTCAAAAAACAAATAAATGAATTGAAGATAAAATCTGAAACTTGAAGAAATAATAAAGGGGCAAAATTGACACTTAATTTACTGATAAACTGTATCTCAAAAATGTACAAGTCAATGAGAACCCATCTTTGTTATCCTTTCTAACATGTAACAAAAACACTGAGGGGAAAATGAAAAAGCATGATTTAAAACTTTAGCAGCTCATTTGTAATTCTGAGAAACTCATGCAGACAGATATTTTCAGTAGCAAATGCCATGTTTATAAAGACCAAGTTTTTAGCCTTTGATATTTTTTTTTCAGATTCAGTTTCAGACTTTTTCTTTTTTTTATAGTTTTTTTTTTTTAAGTTTTATTTTTCTGTACTGTTTACTGGATATCTGCCTTTGTTGTTGTTTTAGGATCATCTTATTGGAGGCCAAACTCCAGAAAAGTCCATGCGGTGGAAAGTGCTGCGTTTAGACAGTGGCAGCACAGTAGGAGTCTGAGGTATTGCAGTGCAATATAATACATTTCCTGCAAATGACAAATTACCCTTTTTTTAACAAAAAAATAAAAAACAAGTAAGGAGGGATAAGAAGTGAAAATTATTTATATGTTAACCTTTTTTTAATAGTCGCAGAGATGCTGAAAAATCTGTCCTTCAGAACCTTAAATCGCAAATCGAGGAGCTGTTGGAGGCCTCGCATGGTTTGGAAAATGTATCCAGACAGATTCAGGAGATTGTTTCCATTACACAGGGAGCAGCACAAAGGGCAAACCTAGCAACAATTTTAAAGGAAACATTCATGTGTTTAATCTGCAGAGGTACACACACACACACACAAAACTGCATCTTGAAATGTCCTAACCAATCTGGACAAATCTGAACAAATCTGGTGCTAAAACAGTAGTATGGCTATTGCTCGGCTGAAATCACGTTCAATCTATTCACTGATATCAGTTGCAAGTGTGTGGCCCCTATAGACCAGGTTTTTGAACTAACTGCCAAAGGTTGTATAATTTTTAGCCATGATTTAGCTATAATTGATGTGATTTGACTTACTGTTTTCCAAAACATAATCATGGTTATTATTTGGCACCAGCTGCAGTTAATGTTGACTTTTTTTTTTTTTATCAAGCTATCATTGAAGAAATGGAAGCTCTAGCGTTAAGTTCTGCCAGGAAGACTCAATTGCTACGTCACTTATTACCTTCTCATCTATCCAATCGTGTCTAAGACTTGTGGTATAAAAGACCAGTACTTACACATGTCTGAGTTCGCAGATGCTGACGCTTTCATGCACCTCCATCCTCCCCACCACCACCAGGATGGTCCCTTCCCCTCCATCCTCCATCCTCCCCACCACCACCAGGATGGCCCCTTCCTATACCTCACGGGGGGTCGGCTGCGCCCCTGCCTTCGTCTTCAGGCAGGAAATGCAGAGTCCGGACCCTCGGATTGCGAGCTATGGACGGGGCCTACGCCAAAGAACTTTATTGCTTGCTGGGCTATCAATAAATGTATTTATTGTTACAGTATTTATTCTCCCGAGTCTTTCTGGTAGAACCTGTGTTCACCTCGTGCTGCAGGAGTGTGGTGGGGTGCAAGGTCTGCATTAACCAATGGATGGAGAACTCAAGGCAGTGCCCTAAATGCAGATCTGAAGATATTGTCATCACAGAGGTTGCAGGCCTATCCAATGTGCTTGAAGTCACTAAAAGTTTTGTCTAAAAAACTTGTCTAGTTTGTCTAGTTTTCATTTTTTTTCTCCACTTCCTGCAGTAGGCTAATATTTGTTCAGTTAGTAAGGTTCAAGCAGGGTGTGTGATAAAGACATAATCAAAAGTTTAAAAACATTGCAGTTTTGTTTGCATGTGTTGTTGTGAGAACAGAATAAAGTTTTTGCAGATTCCATTTTCCATTGTACTGACTTCCCTACAAATCTGCATGCAAACACCCAGCACATTCATTTATAGATTTAACACCCAGTCCTGACACTGGAGCATCATGTTCTGCAGAGTTCAGCTCCAACCAGTTCCAACACACTTTCCTGAACATTTCTAGATATTCTGAAGAACTTGCTTAGCTGGTTCAGGTGTGTTTAACTAGCCTAGCAAAACTTTGCAGGACATTTGCTCTGACATTAGCTTGTTACATTAATTGAGTGTGATTTATCAACAGCTAGTACATTTTAAAATATAGAGCACATGACAAATAATAGTTCCGGATGGACAAACAATAAATGCAAAAAACAGTGTTATTAACAATATCTTAAAAGAAACTAGAGAGTTGCAAACTTTGAAGTAGGGTACAAGTTTTAATTAGTTGTAGCTTGAAGTGTAAAGCTTGTTCTCATACACAGATATGGCCTATTTATGAATGGAATTCATACTTTTATTTGTCATTTAAACTGATGCAAACAGGGAAAGAGAGTAGAAAAAACGTATTATCATGTCGCCCCCTCTAGTGGACAGCGTTAAGTATTACGGCCTTTGCTCAGATAACGCAAGTCAGTGGGATTTTTTTTTCTCGGAAAGTAAGTCTGACCAGTTAGAAAAGATAATTGAGTCAGAGCAGTCTGAAGGTCTGAGCTGAGTTTGGGGAAGCATTACAGTCCTAGGCGTAGTCAATTTCTCATGATAATAGTAATGTTTAAATATATGGCTTTCTCAAGGCAACATAATAAAGAAAACTCAGAGAAACATCGACCAATTCTGTATGTAATTTTTTTTTACTTTGTTTTATAATAAAAACTAATAACATTTTAAATGTATGCCGTCTTCAACCGACATGATTTTAATCAATCCCAAACCCTGCTAATTTCAGTATTAATGTACCTTCACTGATTCTTGCTTCTCTCTTTCTGTCTCTTTCTTTTCATGTGAGTAGGCTACACATGCTTACATTCATAAATATAATCTTTATTTCTATTCAATTTTTGCCTTTTGATGTAAATAAAATAGGCTACGAGAGTGGTAAATGTTACGGATATATTATGGTACAGTTCAGCCTATTATTGATTTTTATTGCCTCTTCCCTTTGATCCAAAGAGACGGAACTATTTGCACGGTATTTACCAATGGAAAATACATGCTAAAATAATCTCAGCTACTGTCTGTGGCTCATATTAATGGGGTCGCTTGCAAGTCGCATTACGTGACCAGCAACATATTTCTGCTTCAAATATTGTGCGTAGTTAACAGTGAGTGGTGGTTTCAGACATCGTTTTATTAAAGTGCATTTGTCAGTGCCGCACTTGTGCTGACTCTTATTCTGCCTGACAGAAAGAAAAGCTCGTAATGAAGGCGGAGCGTTTTGACCAATCAGATGAAAGGGGCGTTTCAGCGCCGCCCACGTGTGCGAATGAAATATCGAACCCATAAACCGATTTGTAAACCACAAATGAAAAATGAAAAATCGAGCCAAAATCTAATTTTTCGTTTTTTAAACTAAACAAAAAAACGAATAAACGAGCTGGATTTCATTTCTCGTTATTCCATTCCAAACAGGAAATGAAATGACCAAAAGATACACGGACCTTCCAGGTCATGCCAAGTTGGATAACTAAATATCAAAATCAGATTCGTGGTGGAGGCATTTTTCGTATTTCCCATTTTCAATTTGAGCATGTAATCGAAAATACAAAAAAAACAGTCATTATTTGTTTTTTAAATATTGTATATAAAACGAATAAGGAAAAAACAAGTCCTTTTTCGATTTTCCGAATTTGATTTCTTAATTGAATATGAAAAGAACGAATGATACACGGATTTATCTATGGGTTGGTTTCCGTTTTTTGTTTTCCTATTTACTAATGGTAATTGGGAAACTGGCCGTTTTTCGTTTTCATTTTTTTCCTTTCAAAATGAAAATCCGTTGGCTGCCAAGTACACGGACCCTTCAACAGCATCAGTATAACAATTCAATCTCTATTACTTGCCATTGCATGAATGCATTATATTTTAAAACGAGAATGAAATACATTCGTGTTTAATAACGACGGGGAAAAAAATAACTATAAAACATTATGATTTATCGGAATTATTTTAAGGTTGAAACGCTTTACTAACAGCCTTACTAAACTGTAAAGATGACATAAGAAACTCACTATTTTAAAATGGAAACTGGTCAACGAAAGAGGCCGTTAGTATTTGTCAGCCGTTAGAGGCAATATATATAGATTTAAACCATCTTCTGACTTTTCGCCACATAGGAAATAAATAAATTACCCTTAGACAAAACCAGTCGATAAAGACATTGAGTTTTTATAAAATTACTTACCATAAACCGTCTTTTCTTGCTTCTGAAGATGCTGAGAGGAAAATTGCGTCTTCTTGTTCGTGTCATCTGAGTCGTGACGTTTACTCCCGGTGTCTGGCGCATGCGCAATGAAAACAAAGGGTCAGAAGTCTAGTAAACTATCTATTAGTAGAATAAACTAATGTTTTTATTTTATATCAGTGCATTGCCACCATGCCATTAGTTTAATCAACATACACTAAAAACGTTATGTTATCTGAACAGCATAGAATCTAAGTTGATTTGACAAAAGACAAAAAAATTGTGATAAATCATGGAAATCATTTTTTACATTGCTTTAAGAGTCCACGGACTTCAGGTACCATGTTCTTCAACATATTTACCACTTCTGGTACAACTTTGGTATTTATCATTTGTACGAAACATGGCCATCTGCATCTTTAGGGACCGGGATTTCAGCTCGGGGTACAGTTCAACAATGTTGTTGACTTGGCCAGAGATTGGGACATTTTCAAGCATGACAATGTTGCTCAAACCCTCCTGTTCAAATCGATCAAATCAAAATCGCTGTGTCATCACTGTATCAAGAACTTGGCAGAACTGCACACGATAGTAGGGCTGCACGATTATGACAAAAATCATAATTGTCGATTATTCCTTTAAAATTGTAATTGCGATTTTTAATTACGATTATCATAATTTACATTGACTGATGTTTTAAATAGCTTTATACCATGTTTGAAGCAACTTCATGCCATATTTTTATATATAAAAATAAAAAAACAAGCTGAAAATACTCTTCCTGAAAAACTTTTATTGCTTTTCTCATTGCCACAAATGATACATTGGTTTGGTTTCTTTAAATAAAAAAAGTACAAATATGCAATAGTATGCATGGTATTATTGTTATACTAAAACTAAAATTAAAACAATGGAAAAACTCAAGATAACCTGTAGAAAGAAAAAAACTGAGATTGCCTTATCAAGTATTTTGGCCTAGAACACAAGCCATAAAAATACTTCGAGTTTTCAGGAATGAACCACATCTAGTTGTTCATCAACATCAACCCCGCGCTGCAAACTGTATTAATCGGTACCATGTCTTTTGCAATAAAATGCGCGATCGCTTCAGTTACCTCGATCTGCTTTTGGGAACCTGCCGGCATTTTGGGAATACAGACGTGACAGTGGACAGTCAGATCGTTGATAAGGACACGCCTACAGACTATTATTAAAAGTGTTGATTTGCCTGTCTGTTACAACGTGACATGATCTAAACACACTTCATAAGCACGCAGATTTATTATTATTTGTTTTTGGTAATCGCGGCTTTGGACGATTACGTAATCGTGGCATCCATAATCGTGATCGCGATTAGAAATTCAATTAATTGAATTTCGCAGCCCTACACGATAGCACTCCTCAGCTGCAGTCAGAATGTAGGGCTGAGCTGGACCAGCGTGTCTTGTAGAAGGCCTTCTTAAATGTGGTACTGTTATCGCCTCAAGGTCCAGCATCTGAGACTGCACTTACAATCTCAGATGCTCTCTGAAAGAGCTCTCTGAAACTTTCATCTGATCTTTTGTTCTGAAAGCTGTTTTTTTACACACTCAACTGCACTTAGCATGCCTCCGACTGTTGCTCCTCTACCTTGCAGTGAAGTGAGGTGTTCAGGCCTTCAAGGCTTACCATGATGTCCTGTGCCAACAGCAGTCCAAGGAAAGTGTTTCCTTTCTGGAAACACTTGTGAAGGCCATTGGCTTTGGAGGCAGTGTCATGTGAGCTGGATGATGTCATTTCCTCCAGTGCAGTCGAGACATCTTCATATATCCTGAGGACAGAATTGATGGCTGGTGTACACACTGTCCATCTAGCTGGACACAAGGGTTTCAGTGGCCAAATAAACAGCCCAGCTCATGGATCTATTGCAAAGAATCAAGAATTATTGGTGACAGGCTGCTTGTGTGACCAAGATCACGCAGTGCGGGCCACTATGAACAAAAGTGGGTGCTCTCTGTGGATGTGAGCTTGTGCACCTGACAAACGCCCAGACATGTTGGCTGCTCCATCGTAGGGTTGACCACACACACTGGAAAGGGGAAGGTTTAGACGGAGGAGGTCATCAGACACAATCTTGCCTATTTTTCCACTAGTTGTAGAAGAAGCTTCATAAAGACCAACAAACTCCTCTCTAGGTTCCAGGTCTGTGTCAACATAACGTATGCAGATTGACACCTGCTCAACACCACTGATGTCCTGCGTCCAATCCATTATTATTGAATACTGCACTACTGGTAAAGCAGCAATTTCCTGTGCAATTACGTGAATGTGGAGTTGCTCATTAAGGTCATTATTTCATTTTGTATCGCAGGGCTTGTGTAGCAGTGATTTCGTTTAAAGGTGCCCTAGAATGTTTTTTTTTATTTATTATTTTATAATGTTTCCTGGGTTACCCTTATAATGTTAGTATGTTTTTTAGATCAAAAATAATCATAATTTAGAAATAAATGGCATTTTTCCTAGCCTGCTTTTAGCCTCTGATTTGAACACTCTGTTTGAAGGGGCGTGTCTGCTGTGTGTAACCGGCCTCTGCTGTGATTGGCTGACATGCTTGCATATGAAATAGCTACGCATTACATGTGAAACTCTCTCGA